GCTTTGGGGCTGTTTTTCTGCAAAGGGACCAGGACGACTGATCCGTGTAAAGGAAAGAATGAATGGGGCCATGTATCGTGAGATTTTGAGTGAAAACCTCCTTCCATCAGCAAGGGCATTGAAGATGAAACGTGGCTGGGTCTTTCAGCATGACAATGATCCCAAACACACCGCCCGGGCAACGAAGGAGTGGCTTTGTAAGAAGCATTTCAAGGTCCTGGAGTGGCCTAGCCAGTCTCCAGATCTCAACCCCATAGAAAATCTTTGGAGGGAGTTGAAAGTCCGTGTTGCCCAGCGACAGCCCCAAAACATCACTGCTCTAGAGGAGATCTGCATGGAAGAATGGGCCAAAATACCAGCAACAGTGTGTGAAAACCTTGTGAAGACTTACAGAAAACGTTTGACCTGTGTCATTGCCAACAAAGGGTATATAACAAAGTATTGAGAAACTTTTGTTAATGACCAAATACTTATTTTCCACCATAATTTGCAAATAAATTCATAAAAAATCCTACAATGTGATTTTCTGGAATTTATTTCTCATTTTGTCTGTCAAAGTTGACGTGTACCTATGATGAAAATTACAGGCCTCTCATCTTTTTAAGTGGGAGAACTTGCACAATTGGTGGCTGACTAAATACTTTTTTCCCCCACTGTACATATGAGATGAGTAGTACAAGATACGTAAACATTAAAGTGGCCAGTGATTTCAATAGGCAGCAGTATCCTCTAATGTGCTAGTGATGGCTATTTAACAGTCTGATGGCCTTGAGATAGAAACTGTTTTTCATTCTCTCGGTCCCAGCTTTGATGCACCTGTACTGACCTCGCCTTCTGGATGATAGCGGGGTGAACAGGCAGTGGCTCGGGTGGTTGATGTCCTTGATGATCTTTGGCCTTCCTGTGACATCGGGTGCTGTAGGTGTCTTGGAGGGTGGGTAGTTTGCCCCCGGTAATGCATTTGGCAGACCGCACCACCCTCTGGAGAGCCCTGCGGTTGCGGGTGGTGCAGTTGCCGTACCAGGCAGTGATACAGCCCGACAGGATGCTCTCAATTGTGCATCTGTAAAAGTTTGTGAGGGTTTTAGGTGCCAAGCCAAATTCCTTCAGCCTTCTGAGGTTGAAGAGGCTCTGTTGCGCCTTCTTCACCACACTGTCTGCGTGGGTGGACGATTTCAGTTTGTCAGTGATGTGTACGCCGAGGAACTTGAAGCTTTCCACCTTCTCCACTGCGGTCCCGTCGATGTGGATAGGGTGGTGCACCCTCCACGATCATCTCCTTTGTTTTGTTGACGTTGAGTGAGAGGTTATTTTCCTGGCAACACACTCCCAGAGCCCTCACCTCCTCCCTGTAGGAGGTCTCGTCATTGTTGGTAATCAATCCTACTACTGTTGTGTCGTCTGCAAACTTGATGATTGAGTTGGAGGCTTGCTTGGCCACGCAGTCATGGGTGAACAGAGTACAGGAGGGGGCTGAGCACGCACCCTTGTGGGGCCCCAGTGTTGAGGATCAGCGAAGTGGAGATGTTGTTTCCTACCTTCACCACCTGGGGGGCGGTCCGTCAGGAAGTCCAGGACCCAGTTGCACAGGGCGGGGTTCAGACCCAGGGCCTCGAGCTTGATGATGAGCTTGGAGGGTACTATGGTGTTGAATGCTGAGCTATAGTCAATGAACAGCATTCTTACATAGGTATTCCTCTTGTCCAGATGGGATAGGGCAGTGTGCAGTGTGATGGCAATTGCATCGTCTGTGGATCTATTCGGGCGGTAAGCAAATTGAAGTGGGTCAGGCCTTTATGGTAGACTGGCCAGAGGGAATCCACTCCTCAGTAAAAGGCACATGACAGCCCACTTGGAGTTTGCCAAAAGGTACCTAAAGGACTCTGACCATGAGAAACAAGATTCTCTGGTATGATGAAACCAAGATTGAACTCTGGCCTGAATGCCAAGCGTCACGTCTGGAGGAAACCTGGCACCATCCCTACAGTGAAGAATGGTGGTGGCAGCATGCTGTGGGGATGTTTTTCAGCGGCAGGGACTGGGAGACTAGTCAGGAGAAAACCTGCACCAGAGTGCTCAGGACCTCAGACTGGGGTGAAGGTTCGCCTTCCAACAGGACAACGACCCTAAGCGCACAGCCAAGACAAAGCAGGAGTGGCTTCAGGACAAGTCTCTGAATGTCCTTGAGTGGCCCAGCTTGAACCCGAACGAACATCCCTGGAGAGACCTGAAAATAGCTGTGCAGCGACGCTCCCCATCCAATCTGACAGAGCTTGAGAGGATCTGCAGAGAAGAATGGGAAAAACTCCCCAAATACATACCCAAGAAGACTCCATGCTGTAATTGCTGCCAAAGGTGCTTTAACAAAGTACTGTGTAAAGGGTCTGAATACTTTTAAATACATTTCCTAAAGTTTCTAAAAACCTGTTTTTGCTTTGTGATTATGGGATATTGTGTGTAGATTGATGATGGGGGGGAAAACAATTTGATCAATTTTAGAATAAGGCTGTAATGTAACACAATGTGGAAAAAGTCAAGGGGTCTGAATACTTTCCGACTGCATTGAACAAAAATATAAACGCAACATGTAATGTTTTGGTCCTATGTTTCATGTGCTGAAATAAAAGATCCCAGAAATGTTCCATATGCACAAAAAGCGTCTCTCTCAAATTGTGTGCACACATTTGTTTACATCCCTGTTAGTGAGCATTTCTCCTTTGCCAACATAATCCATCCACCTGACAAGGGTGGCATATAAAGAAGCTGATTAAACATCATGATCATTACACGGGTGCACCTTGTGCTGGGGACAATAAAAGGCCACTCTAAAATGCCACCATAAGGGAGTATGCAATTGGCATGCTGACTGCAGGAATGCCACCAGAGCTGTTGCCAGAGAATGTAATGTTCATTTCTCTACAATAAGCCGACTCCAATGCCGTTTTATAGAATTTGGCAGTAAATCCAACCGGCCTCACAACCGCAGACCACATGGTGTCATGTGGGTGAGCATTTTGCTGATGTCAACGTTGTGAACAGAGTGCCCCATGGTTGCAGTGGGGTTATGGTATGGGCAGGCATAAGCTACGGACAACGAACACAATTGTAGTTTATCGATGGCAATTTGAATGCACAGAGATACCGTGATGAGATCCTGAGGCCCATTCATCAGCCGCCATCACCTTATGTTTCAGCATGATAATGCATTGCCCCATGTCGCAAGGATCTGTACACAACTCCTGGAAGCTGAAAATGTCCCAGTTTTTCCATGGCCTGCATACTCACCAGGCATGTTTGGGATGCTCTGGATCGACGTGTAGGACCGCGTGTTCCAGTTCCTGCCAATATCGAGCAACAAGTGTAGTGGGACAACATTCCACAGGCCACAATCAACGGCCTGATCAACTCTATGCGAAGGAAATGTGTTGCGCTGCATGATCCATGTCTGTATTCCCAGTCATGTGAAATCCATAGATTAGGGCCTAATGAATTCATTTCAATTGACTGACGTCATATGAACTGTAACTCAGTAAAAAATCTTTGAAATTGTTGCATGTTGCGTTTTTATATTTTTGTTCAGTATAGTCACCACAAATTATTGGCACCCTTGATAAAGATGAGGAAAAATGACTATAAAATAAAACATACTGAGCTATATTGTATGACCCCCAAAATTGGGAAATTATATTATTTTATAGTCATACAATTGCTCAGAGAAAAATATTTTGTTTAACAAGTAATATTTTTTCTCAAAGAAAATTATTGGCAGCCCCTGTTGTCAAAGCAGTATTTATTTCATATTCTAGCACGCAATGACTACATCAAGCTTGTGACTGTACAAACTTGTTGGATGCATTTGCAGTTTGTTTTGATTGTGTTTCAGATTATTTTGTGCCCAGTAGAAATGGAAAGGTAAATAATGTATTGTCATTTTGGAGTCACTTTGATTGTAAATAAGAATATAATATGTTTCTAAACACTTCTACATTAATGTGGATATTACCATGATTACGGATAATCCTGAATGAATCGTGAATAATAAGTGAGAACGTTAGAGGAACAAAGATCAAAGCCAACCTCCCCTGTTACTGCTAATGGTGAGGTTCGCATGTCTTAAGGGTATGATTTTTGAAACAACCAAAACAAAGTGGAAATGCAACAAGTTTGTATAGTCACTAGCTTGATGTAGTCATTGTGTGCTAGGAATATGGGACTAAATACTAAACTTTTGACTAATTTTATCCCTATCTTTTTAAGGGAAAAAATATTATTGAAACAAAATCTCTTTCACTGAGCAATTGTATCAGTATAAAATAATACAATACAATCAAACTTTTTGGAGCATACAATATAGCTCAGTGTTTGTATTTATTTTATACAGTCTTTTCTTTTGCTCATTTTTATCAAGGGTGCCAATCCATTTTTTAGGTTACTGTATGTATTACATAGCTAAATGTCTCAATTAGGCCTATCTAAAAAATGTATCTACCTGGGCAAGTCACCATTCCTGAAACTTTAAGGTCTGAAGTTGATATTTCTGGCTGTGACACAGTCCGGAGAGGTCGAGCAAGACCGAGCTGAGGCCAAAATACTGTGGATTCATATTTCTAGGGCCACTCTGACTTATGGACGTCATACAGGGATGAAATTGGTCTCATTCCTTTCACAAGGACCAAATCTGTCTCAGTATCCCAGCATCCCTTTAGCTGTGGAGTTAATCAGGAACTTAGAGACCTGATACATGTTTTACTCTGTACACTAGCATACAGAACAGGTAATGGAATGATTACAAATAAGGAATGAGCATTATTTATTTATTACTTGATTGCATGAAATAGGCATTTTCAGAATAATCAAGACATGATTGAACAGTTATTGGTTTAGTAAACGAGTTGATATGTTGGAGTAAAACAGTTCAGGTTTTCAGTGATCAGACAATGCATTTAGTAAAACAAAGTATCAATTCTGATTTGTTTTTATGATTTCAGCTCAACAAACAAATGCTTGGATATGATTCTGAAGACTCAATCAGAAACATAGAAATAAAAGAATATGAATATGTGCCAGGAACAGACAGTGAGAGCAGCTTAGAGGACTTTACTGCATTAAAGGACAAATGCACCACTAAAGCAAGATCTGCACCTAAAGCTGGCCAACTTGACAAATACATGCTTGGATATGATTCTGAAGACTCAATCAGCAGCACAGAAATAACAGAATATGAATATGTGCCAGAATATGAATATGTGCCAGGAACAGAAAGTGACAGTGAGAGCAGCTTAGAGGACTTTACTGCATTAAAGGACAAATGCACCACTAAAGCAAGATCTGCACCTAAAGCTGGCCAACTTGACAAAGACATGCTTGGAAATAATTCTGAAGACTCAATCAGCAGCACAGAAATAACACGAGATGAATGTGTGTCAGGAACAGAAAGTGGCAGTGAGAGCAGCTTAGAGCACTGCACTGTATTGAAGAACAAAGGCCCCACCAAAGCAAGATCTGCTCCTAAAGATGGCCCAAAAAATACCTATAAGAGACATAGAAATACAGAATCTGACACCTCTGTGCAAGAATCCACAAGTTCACTTGAAGTCATGCACGTTACAAAGACTAAAGATGGCTCAAGAAGATACACCAAAAAACATTACTGTCTCTTTTGTGAGAAACCACAATCAAAAATAGCCCGGCATCTGGAAATGATTCATAAAAGTGAAGCTGAAGTCGCAAAGGCCCTTTCTTTCCCAAAGAACTCCAAGGACAGAAAGCTCCAACTGACTATACTGAGAAAACGAGGGGACAGAGCACACAACATGCAAGTCATAAGAGAAGGCAAAGGTGTTATAGTTCCTTGTAAACAAACCAGTTCCCCAAATGGAAATCCAAAAGATTTCTTGCACTGTGCAAACTGCCAAGGACTCTTTAAAAGAAAATTCCTATGGAAACACATGAAAAGGTGCCCACTGAGAGGTGTACGTCTGAAACCTGGTAAAACACGAGTGCAGGCTATTTGTGCCCATGCACAACCTGTGCCAGATGGGATAAGCAAGGGACTGTGGAAACTTGTCAATGATATGACACAAGATGAGGTGGTAGATGTCATAAAGAGAGACAAATGTATCATCCAGTTCGGGGAGCAACATTACAACATCATGGGACACAGACGTGCCAATCATGAATTGATACGGCAGAAAATGCGTGAGCTGGGGAGACTGGTTTTGAAAGGGAAGCAGGTGTCACCTCTTACGAGATTGGATGAATACATTGATCCAGCCAACTTCTTCCTCACAATCAGTGCAGTGAAAGCTGTTTGTGGCTTTGACAGTGAAAAGAACACACTAAAGACACCTTCACTAGCCTTAAAACTTGGCCATAGCCTTCAGAAGGTCGCAGACATAGTTAGTTGTGAGGCTAGGGTCTCCGGTAACAAGAAAAAGGCTCAGAAGGTGGAGGACTTCAAACATATCTATAAGACATGCTGGAGAGAGCACATCTCGTGTCATGCTCACAAATCATTTGAAGAAAATAAGTTCAGCGCTCCACTGATCTTGCCATTTGCTGAAGATGTCAAGAAACTGCATATCCACCTTGAAGAAAAACAGAAAACATGCTACAGCCAACTTTCCAAAGAACCTAACAGGAAGACGTGGGCACAGCTCGCTAAAGTCACTCTGTCACAAATGACGGTCTTTAACCGAAAAAGACTAGGGGAAGCCTCCCTGATGACAGTGGCCTCATTCGTGTCTCGAGACAAAACTGCTTTACATGACGATTATGGGAACTCCCTCTCAGATGTTGAACGGGCACTATGCCAACATTTTAGTCACATAGAAATAAGTGGAAAGCGATCAAGAAAAGTCGCAGTGCTTCTATCACCTACAATGATCAAATCAATGGAGCTGCTTGCGGAGAAGCGCGAACATTGCGGCGTTCTGAAGGAGAACATATATATGTTCGCCATTCCAGGCTGTCCAACATCATTCAGCGGATCAGACTGCCTGCGTCTCTTTGCCAAGAAGTGTGGGGCTAAATGTCCAGAATCCCTCTCGTCCACCAAGTTGCGTAAACGCATCACCACGATGTCTACTGTACTCAACTTAAATGACACCGACATGGACCAGCTAGCTGATTTCCTGGGACATGATCTACGGATAGACAGGAAATATTACAGGTTACCTGAGGGAACACTTCAGCTGGCAAAAATCACCAAAGTCCTCATGGCGATGGAGCAGGGAAGGCTAAACGAATTCAAGGGGAAAGGTCTTGACCAGATAGACATCAGTCCAGCGGGTATGTAACAATTTGTCAATGAAGTTGAACCTGGTACCTCAACCCTGTCATGGTGACATCTTCTGAGCAACCTGTCTATTTCTCCCTCCTTGCTAAGTGATATGCTTGCTTGCTTGTATTTCAGAGTGTGTTGAGCTGGATGAAGAGAGTGATACGGACTTCACTGAAGAAACTCCTGGAAGGTCATGTGAGCCACAAGGTAAACATTTTGATGTGGAATGAAAGTATTTAAGGCACAGCAGGTTTTAGAAACTTGTTCAATTTTCATTTCCAGCCATAACATATTAATTAATGACACAAACATACTGTACCTTTGGGCTGACAGTTTAATTGATACTGTATATGTAAACAGCATGTCGTAGGATTTCAATACTGACCCGTGGGATTTAGGAATTTGTATTCATGTGTCTCCATTGGCTCACCAGAGAGGACACGGGAGGCCATGGCAGGAAGATCAGGTAAAGAAACTGCCCAGATGAATCTTATTGTTGTGTTTGTTGTCTGCATGCATTTCCAGCACTTAGTCATATCAAAATAGTTTTACACTAGATTGTTTACTACCACAAAGTGTTAGTATAGACATATTAGTCCTTGCATGTAGACTGTGGTCTGTGAATTTGTGGTTTATATTTCCTGCCAAGCCAGATCTTTCAGCTCTTTTCTTTAGTAAGTGGTACTCAGCCACTTTGCTGAAGGAGTCCCAAATTGTGGTTCTAAAAATTAACAAGTAATCCACACACTCGTGATTTCATTACTCATGCTCCAACAATTACATTCTGAAAATGCAATGTTCCAATTTTTAAAGGGAGACTCATTGATGTGACGTCACGGACAAAACAAGCGGCGAGACCAGTATTCATTTTGGCAGCTGTTTTAGTCTTTTAGTCTTAGTCACATTTTAGTCATTTCATCTCTCGTTAGTTTTAGTTATTATCAATCTACTAAAACTGGACAATTTTAGTGTAGTTTTAATCACAGCCATTTTTAAATGTAATATTATTTTTGTCATTTAACAGATGCTCTTATCCACGGCGACTTACAGGTAGTGCAGTCATCTAAAGATAGCTAGGTGGGACAACCACATATCCAGTCATTTTTCTCACCATCATAACCATCAAGGGTGTAAATAACAGAAATGCCAGAAGTATTACTGTACTCCTAATACTCAACAAATAGCATTTGTTTTTCCCATTGGTAAATAGCAACTACAACTCGCAGTTGCGGAACGCGAGAGACCGCATCCGAATGAATGTGTTCAAAGCAAAAATAGCCTACATGAAAGTAAGAGAGTGAGTAAACATTATTGTTTCTACACTGAACAAAAATATAAACGCAACATGTAAAGTGCTGGTCCCATGTTTGATGAGCTGAAATAAAAAATCCCAGACATTTTTCATTTATATAAAAAACGTATTTCTCTCAAATATTGTGCACAAATTTGTTTACATCCCTGTTAGTGAGCATTTTATCCTTTGTCAAGATAATCCATCACCCTGACAGGTGTGGCATATCAAGAAGCTGATTAACAGCATGATCATTACACAGGTGCACCTTGTGCTGGGGACAATAAAAGGCCACTCTAAAATGTGCAGTTTAGTCACACAACACCCTGCTGACTGCAGGAATGTCTACCAGAGCTGTTGCCAGAAAATTTAATATTCATTTCTCTACCATAACGTCGTTTTAGAGAGTTTGGCAGTATGTCCAACCGGCCTCACAACCACAGACCACGTGTAACTAGGCCAGCCCAGGACCTCCACATCCGGCTTCTTCACCTGCGGGATCGTCTGAGGAGGGCTGGGTTGATGGGGGTGCTGAGGAGTATTTCTGTCTGTAATAAACCCTTTTGAGGGGAAAAACTCATTTTGATTGGCTGGGCCTGGTTCCCCAGTGGGTGGGCTTATGCCATCCCAGTGACAATGTAATCTGTGTGCCTACAGTTGCTCATACCCCCTCTTTTTCTAAACATGTTGGAGAAATTAATCTTCAGTTCCAGATATGTCACACCACTGTCTCCTTTGGTGGTGTATAATTGGCAAGGAAATGTGTTTCAGGGGCTTCAGGAGTGGAGAACAACACATCATACAATTCAGACAACGATTCTGCAGGTAAGATATGAGTAGACAGTTTAATAGATCCTGTATACGGCATGCAAACGGCATGTCATAGGATACGGGAGGCCATGGCCTCCTCTATAGTCTCTCCTATTCTGAGATCTCCAAAACTACAGGCTCAAACTTAATTCTGTAAGGAAAACTAAGAAGATTTGGCCATTTAACAATTTATTGAATCAAATATAAATGGCAATATATTTAGTATTGGCTTTGCTCCTTTCGGGGTACTAGCTACAACAAAAGCATCATAAAAGTTAACAATTAAACGAAACAATAGGTAGAGAATGGAATAATCTTCATTCCCCATAGGGATAGAGCAGACCCAAAGCAGGCGGAGACTGGAGGTAGGGGATGCAGAACAAAAAGGGCGGTAGGTAACGTAGCGGTTAGAGCGTTGAGCCAGTAATTGAAAGGTTGCTGGTTCGAATCTCCAAGCTGACAAGGTGAAAAAATCTGTAGATACTCCTTTAAGTCGCTCTGGATAAGAGTGTCTGCTAAATGACTAAAATGTTAAAAAATTTAATAAAAAAAATAAGCATTTAGTATCCAGTTTGTAAACAGCATGCAACATTATAACATGACTTTAGTTAAGCAGCAAAAGCACATGCATAAAATTCAAACAACAAACATGTATGGTGATGCAGCAGAAAGGATGTGCATTGTCAGGCAGCATCAGAATGGAAGTGCTCTTAAATGCCTCAAATATTTTTTAATTGTTGTGTTTACTTGTCCTAAGGTTCTAAGAAGAGGAAGTGGAGTGAGGAGGAGAAAGGGGCAGTGGAAGAAAAAATTATAATAATCATGGACTCTGGAGCTACTCCAGGGAAAGCAGACTCTTGCATGCATCAAGGCAGCGCCACAAGCCCTCAGAGAGCGGGACTGGCGTGCAGTGAAGTATTATGTCAAGAACAGAATTACAGCATGTGAGCAGGACTACCAAAAAAGGATGTAGTCTATCTGTCCCTCTGCCTGCCTCTGTCTGTTCCCCTACCTGCATGTCTGTCTGCCTACCTGTGTCTGTCCCTCTGCCTGTCTGTCTCTGTCCCTCTGCCTGCCTCTGTCTGTTCCCATACCTGCATGTCTGTCTGCCTACCTGTGTCTGTCCCTCTGCCTGCCTCTGTCTGTTCCCATACCTGCATGTCTGTCTGCCTACCTGTGTCTGTCCCTTTGCCTCTCTGCCTGCCTGCCTCTGTCCCTCTGCCTGTCTGTCTCTGTCCCTCTGACTGCCTGCCTGCCTCTGTCCCTCTGCCTGCCTGCCTCTGTCCCTCTGCCTGCCTGCCTCTGTCCCTCTGCCTGCCTGCCTGCCTCTGTCCCTCTGCCTGCCTGTCAGTCTGTGCCTCTGCCTGTCTGAAATGCAGTGCCTCCTAACTCCCTAGTTGTAATCAAGACGAAATAGGATATTATGTACAATGTTTAATATTCACACAATTACCCCCAATAATGTAAAAGTTCATAATTTGCAGATTGTTTATTTATCAAACATGTTTTTTTTTTTTTAAGGGTATTTAGTCCTAGGCAGTGTTGTGATTAGTTACTTGAACATGTAACTAAAGTAATGCGTTATGTTACAATATTACTTTGCATAGAAAGTAACGTTATATTACTTTGTTACTTTGATGCACTGTCGGACGGAGCGAGGCAAGGCATGCGTGCTCTACCAAAGATACTAATAATAATGTCTAATCTAATTCATAACTAAATCAAACATCTTGGTCACAACTTTTTCTTCCTAAATGGTGTAGACTGATGTATTTGTCTGAATTTTGCAGTACATTTGCTGTAAAGAATATACGAGAGTATAGGCTACACCCATAGCCTGGCACCTCTGCGACGCAAGACATTTTATGCACTCGTGAAATGTAGGCCAAGAACTGTTGTACAAATAAACATGATGGCTTTCTTTTAACTTTACCATGTGTTATTCACTACTGCAGTTATTTTCAAGGTTTCCTAGAGTTCTATCTTCGAGTACATGAATAGCATAACAAGAAGGCAATCTGTAGGAACCACTGGTCAGCTGTAGTCGCAGCTAAACTGACTGACAAGCAGAAGGACGACAGGCAGGCAAGCTGACGCATCATATTGGACCACCAGCAAGTTCATTAAATCAACTTTGATTAACAAATTGTAGCCAAATTAAGCAACTTTGAATTGTGCACAGATTAGTTGAATGCAGTATTTGTTTGCATTCTCTATATTATGTACCGAATACGTAACAATAATATCTAGACTTCCTAGATTTACCAATTTTGTGTCCACATGACTTCGTCTGCTTACTTCTATTTAAAGAAACAAACAGAAAATCAAATACTAATGAATGAATACTGGTCTTTTAACTGTCCATAGAAGAACCGTATGGAACTCTGGGTGGAGTATATGGGATGAGTCTGGGATGATTTGATTGGCCTGTCTCATGATTGTTTCAAAGATTATGGATAACAAAGATATCCCGCCCCGCAGAGGAGGTTCCCTTGACAAGGGCACCTTTTCTGTGGGGCAGGGAAAATAAGCAGACCAGATCATGGCCCCGCCCCAACCCAAAAATAATGTATGACTGGAGTGTCTCAGTTTCTTCTTTCGTCTCTGTCTGTTCATAGACAGTCTGAAGGGATGGTGCTAACTCACACCCATTACCTTGATTGCTGTCTGGATCAGGTGGGTGACCTCTGCTGGTTGATTTAGTTTAGTGGCCGCTGATTGACAAAGCTCAGAGCACTGAACTGACTTGGTCTGGTTGTGTCCAGAGCTTTCTCAGTGTCTTGCTGGCATTTGAAGTACATTTTTTCAGGTTCTTTCTTGAAGTTGAGCTGGATAAATACATTAACTTAAAATCATATTGTTAATGAAAAGCTATATCTCCTTATTTTATACGACCCAAAATAACTGAGGGGCTTCAACTACCAATACAAACTTTGCCAGTTATCTAGATTATAATCCATCTTTCCCCTTGTGCCCCTAAACAATAGCCTACACTAGTTAGTCCCCAGATGGCACTAGTTGGTGGGAACTTGGTCCCCAGATGGGACTTCCTGTTGATACCCAAATAAGGAGTTTCCTCTTGGGTCCCCACATTGATCACCTGCCCAGTCCCCACAATGTCATCTACTCTTATTTCAATTAATTAATTACAACTGAAGTGTCAGATAGCATACCTCTTTTTTAAATAGGAAGACATAGGCTCCAACAAAGACCTCTTGTTGTTAGTGAAGTCTAATTCTAATGAAGACAATTGTTGAAATTAATTAGGCTACTCGAATTAGATTCAGCACCATTTGCTGTCCACCTCTGATTATGTCACGGCCACTGCTTCAAGTTTCAGCACTCCAAAGCTGTCTTCCCACTTGCCTTTTTAGTTGGCTGTCTACAGTTAAAATAACATGCATTATTTAGATGAGTTAACTTCCTTCTTGGGACATTACTTTTGGGACATTTTGCATTAAAAATAATAATATGGGGGGGCTTTGGGAGGCCAAAAGATATTGCTGTTGCTTGTTGCCGACCCCCACATTCAAAGGTCTCCAGTTTGAATGTTCTAAAGCGGGGGGGTGGGCAATATTTTTCACCGGGGGGCCACATTGACAATTTCAGTGTGCATCGCGGGCCACACACCAAATAACGAACTTAGTTAACTCTGAACGCATATTTTCAAGGTAAAACACACAGCTAGGCCTAATGCAATGCGTATTGCATAAATAGGCTATTTAAACTTTTTTTTTTTTTACTTTATACAATGTCCAAAAAACAAGCCAAACAGCTTTTTCCCAAACTTTGGACACAGATGTTCATGTCACTGATGCAGAGACTCTAGTCCCAGAGACTGACAGGCATCTTCGTATAAGGTATAGTTAGACCCCAGTATGGTCTTGACTGCTTTGCATTTTATTCTTATTCTTGAGTGCAACATCACTGCATATTCCACACTTCATCTCTTCTCCTTATCCCTCTGTCACAGCCTCATCTTTCCCCTCTGGCTGGGGGTCAGCTTGGGCCACCACCTCTCCCTCTCCTCCCTCCTCATGAGTCACCTCATCCCCCTCCGCCTCGGCCTCGCGGGTGTGGAAGACGAGCTCCCCTCCCTGGATGACCTGCTCGGAAGTGGGTTGCCAGGTTGTGGTAACAACTTCTCCCCCGGCGGTGGCAGCTGCAGCAGTGGTGTACTGCTGGTAGAAGTCAGAGTCGGCCTGGAACATGACCAGGGCCTGGGCCGTGTGGATTCGCACATGTTGGGCCAGTGAGCTGGCGTCCAGGAACTTGTCACCGCATGAGTCGCATCCATACAGGATCTGAGTGTTGGGGTCTGGGAGGGAGAGATTGACAGTGAGGATGTGTGAGGGAAGTTATGAATAGTAAAAGCTATTCAACGCTGTGTGTGGCCAGTCTCACCTGCTTCCTGCACCTTCTCCACAGCCTTCGTGATCTCAGCTTTCAGAGCCTCTGTCTCGTCTGCTGATAGTGATGCAGCCACAGGCACCACTGGAAACAGACAGAATCCCATATAAACACACGGCAGGAGAATGTTCTTTATTATTCCCTTTGTTCTGAGTCCATTTCCTTCTTACTCTTACACAGCCACCTTCTTTTCATCCTCTTCCTTTTACAGTCACATCCATTGCATACTACCCTTCTCCCACCCCTGTCTGAACTACATTACCCAGCATGTGCTCCATCTGACCTGTCAGCTGGGACACGGTGCTGCCAGCAAGGGCCTCCGTCGCCAGGGTGACGATGTCCTCGGTGGTGACAGTGACTATGTTGATCTCATTTTCGTCCATCTCTGAGGCCGACCCGCCGTGGAACCCGTCACCCCCGTCGTCGCTGTCACCCCCGGCAACCACCAGGCGCTTCATCCCAGCCTTACCCTGGTGTACGGTCTTTACATGGGAGCGCAGATTGTCGACACGGTTGAACCCGCGACCGCACTTGTCACACAGGAAGGGCTTCTCTCCTAGGGGATGGTTAAAAAAAAGAGAACAAGGCAACAGTAAACATGCCGTCCCCCACGAATGATGCAGCACCCCCCTTAGGCCAATCAGTGTAATTTTGTAAGTTTAGTCAAAAATCGGGCCAGTGGTGTCTGATATCGCGTGTGACTTACGGATCCATAGTCCGTCCGTCCCCCTCCCCATGATTTCATCATGGGGGACAATAAATGTGATTTAATGATCGGTGACCCTGGAGCAATTAGGGTTAAGTGCCTTGCTCAAGGGCAGATCAACAGATTTTTCACCTAGTCGGCTCAGGGATTCGAACTAACAACCTTTCGGTTACTGGCCCAACGCTCTAACTGCTAGGCTACCTGCCGCGGTTAGTGCGTGGGTAATTGTCAACTGTATCGAATTAGTGGCCAGGTTACACACTTTTACATGTGTGAAATGGGACCCCCCCCCCCAATTATTTGACCAATTAATACATTAGTCACACACGATACCTCTGACACCACCCGTGGGGGAGAATTACTTGAAGGGTGAATGTAGACTAATGCAGTTGATGTTATACCTCAAGGGAAGGAGGTTGGAGGCACACTAAAGCTAAAGGGGAAATAATGTACCCAGATACCCAACAGCTTTGTTTTCTTAACTGGATAAATATATACAAGATACCTATATTCCACAACATGGTGACTTATATTATAGACTCTTTTTTTTGACCAACCATTAATATCCACTACTCCCAGGGAACCTTACTTTCTCACTCACAGTTAGTTGTACATTCCATGTCTTCCTACCTGTGTGAATGACAATATGCTTGGAGAGATCCCCGACATTGACAAACGCCTTTTTGCAGATGTGACACTTGTGTGGCCGGATGTTATCATGGTGACGGATGTGATTGGCCAGCTGACTGGACTGGACAAACCTGGAGTTGAAGAGAGGACATCAAGACAAAAAGGTCTCTGTTATATCAATAGGATTATAGTGTGCGTGTGTGTGTGTTTACCTTTTGCCACAGCGGTCGCAGACATACGGCTTCTCTCCGGTGTGCTGGCGGACATGAGCGATGAGTGAACTGGCCTGGGTGAACCCCTTCCCACAGATCAGACACAGACATGGCTTCTCCCCTACAGGACACACACACAAGCATGCGGACAGACACAACAATTACATTACAGTCTCCAACCTATGATGCAATGCACAGGCATTGTTCTTTTTGCACATATTTAGGCTTCACAGTACAAAGAAAGAGGTCAATGTGAACATATTCATTTAAATCCATTTCCAGGACTGTTACCCGTGTGTATGCGCTCGTGTCTCTGCAGTGCCCCTGGGTCAGCGAAAGCTCTCTGGCAGTGCATACAGATATAGGGCTTCTCCCCACTGTGCACGCGCAGGTGTCTCTTCAAGTTCCCTGGGAATCAAAGACTACAGTTATATACCAATGCGAAGACCAGACACTAGTTATATACAGTGCCTTCGGAAAGTATTCAGACCCCTTGACTTTTTCCACATTTTGTTACGTTACAGCCTTATTCTAAATTGCACTGTCAACTGTAGGATCTTATATAGACAGGTGTGTGCCTTTCCAAATCATGTCCAATCAATTGAATTTAACACAGGTGGACTCCAATCAAGTTGTAGAAACATCTCAAGGATGATCAGTGGAAACAGGATGCACCTGAGCTCAATTTCGAGTCTCATAGCAAAGGGTCTGAATACTTATGTAAATAAGGTATTTCTGAAATTTGCAAAATATTCTAAAACCTGTTTTCGCTTTGTCATTATGGGGTATTGTGTGTAGATTGCTGAGGATTTTTATTTATTTAATCAATTTTAGAATAAGGCTGTAACGTAACAAAATGTGGAAAAAGTCAAGGGGTCTGAATACTTTCCGAAGGCACTGTATCAACACACAGAGAGACCAGGGCCTGTGTTCATAAAGCGTGTAAGAGTACTGATCTATGTTCAAGTCCCCTCCCTGTCCATTTAATCTTATTAGGATCAGTGTTGCCTTTTAGATCATAATGAATAAGATTACATGGACAGCGAGGACCTGATCTTAGATCAGTACTCCTACTCTCTGAGATGCTTTATGAATATAGGCCCGGAAGTCCTTGTCTGGTGTTACCGGAGGTGGTGAACTGTTTGCCACACTCTTTGCACTTCAGAGGGCCGTCTGTGATGTGGATCTTCAGGTGAGCCTTTAGATTTCCAGTCTGTCCAGACAGAGGAATAGCCAGGTTAGATACAGTTCACCATTTCAATGCAAGGATAGAGAGCAACTACATACTGGATTGTACAGATTAGGGCTACTTCTTTCAATTTCATGAAATCAAACACAGTGGTGTAAAGTAACTAAGTTTTGTAATCGATCCCACAATTGCTGATGTTCCAGATACTCAAGAAGGCCAGTTTTATTGCTTCTTTAAATCAGCACAACAGTTTTCAGCTGTGCTAACATAATTGCAAAATGGTTTTCTAATGATCAATTAGCCTTTTAAAATGATAAACTTGGATTAGCAAACTCAACGTGCCATTGGAACACAGGACTGATGGTTGCTGATAATGGGCCTCTGTATGCCTATGTAGATATTCCATTAAGAATCAGCCGTTTCCAGGTACAATAGCCATTTACAACATTAACAATGTCTACACTGTATTTCTGATCAATTTGATGTTATTTTAATGGGGAAAAAAATTGCTTTTCTTTCGAAAACAAGGACATTTCTGAGTGACCCCAAACTTTTGAACTGTATGTCAATTGAGTACTTTTTCCACCACTGTATTTAAGTACATTTAAAAACGGATACTTTTAGACTTACTGAAGTATAATTTTACTGGGTGACTTTCACTTTTACTTGAGTAAAAAGGTATTTATATTTTTACTCAAGTATGACAATTGAGTACTTTTTCCACCACTGATCAAACACAAAAAAAGATAGCCACACTATCTCCAAACTATTTACATGCAGGTGAAATTCTCCCTACTATCCCCAATACTTTGGTCAGTGTAGAAGAGGTCCTAACCTGGTTGAACCGCTTATCGCAGTGTGGACACCTGTGGCCCTTGTCGGCGTTGTGGGTCTCCAGGTGGCGCATCTTAGCGGTGGGGTCGGAGAAGGCCCGGTCGCAGTAGCCGCAGTGATATGGCTTCTCGCCGCTGTGCACCAGAATGTGGCGCTTCAGGTTGCCAGACGTGGTGAAGAGCTTGCCGCAGTCCTTGCAGCTGTATCGGGCCTCACCTGTGTGCCTTTTCCGGTGCAGGTTGAGCAGGCTGATCTGCCGGTAGCACTTCCCACACGAGGAGCAGCAGTAGGGTTTCAGGGGGCTACAGAGAGAGACATAAGATATTTAAGTAAGATATAGCTACTTGCTGAGGTTCGAGAGGATGTTGATGCTATGAAACTGTGATTCCTATGACTGTTTTAATTTTAATTTACTATAAATTTGATCATTGTTATTATCAATTAATAACTATTTTACAAGAGGACGTGTTCCACAAATGTGTATCGTCTAGTGTTATTGAACACTAAGGGATTAGTTTGGCATTGGGCCCATGAGACACAGAAAGACAGATGATGAGGTTGATACTAACCTGTGTGTTTTCTCGTGAGCCTTGCAGGCAGCCGGATCTGAGAAGGCCTTGTGGCAGTCACGGCAGCTGAAAGGTTTCTCTCCTGTGTGAATGCGGATGTGTCTTTTGAAGTTACCCGTGTGGGTGAACTTCTTTCCACAGTCCTAGAAAATACATGGCAACATAGTGAGTTAGATATGCTCAACCCCGAATACATGAATGTGAATGCAATATCCTCTAGTAGACCAAAAATATAAACGCAACATGCAACAATTTCAAAGATTTTACCGAGTTACAGTTCATATAAGGAAATCAGTCAATTGAAATAAATAAATTAGGCCCTAATCTATGGATTTCACACGACTGTGAATACAGGTATGCATCTGTTGATCACAGATACTTTATAAAAAAAGGTAGTGGTGTGGATCAGAAAACCAGTCAGTATCTGGTGTGACCACCATTTGCCTCATGCGGCGCGACACATCTCCTTCGCATAGAGTTGATCAGACTGTTGACTGTGGCCTGTGGAATGTTGTCCCACTCCTCTTTAATTGCTTGCTGGATATTGTCGGGAACTGTAACACGCTGTCATACACGTTGATCCAGAGCATACCAAACATGCTCAATGGGTGATGTCTGGAGAGTATGCAGGCCATGGAAGAAGTGGAACATTTTCGGCTTCCAGGAATTGTGTACAGATCCTTGCGACATGGGGCAGTGCATTATTATGCTGAAACATGAGGTGATGGCGGCGGATGAATGGCGCGACAATGGGCCTCAGGATCTCGTCATTGTATCTCTGTGCAATCAAATTGCCATTGATAAAATGCAATTGTGTTCATTGTCCGTAGCTTACGTCTGCCCATACCGTAACCGCACCGCCACCATTGGGTACTTTGTTCACGACGTTGACATCAGCAAACCACTCGCCCACACAACGCCATACACGTGGTCAGCGGTCCTGGGCTGGCGTGGTTACACCTGGTCAGCGGTTGTGAGGCCGGTTGGACATACTGCCAAATTCTCTAAAACGACATTGTTAGAGAAATGAACAGCTTATGTTAGAGAAATGAACATTCAATTCTCTGGCAACAGCTCTGGTGGACATTCCTGCAGTCAGCATGCCAATTGCATGCTCCCTCAAAACTTGAGACATCTGTGGCATTGTGTTGTGTGACAAAACTGCACATTTAAAGTGGCTGTTTATTGTCCACAGCACAAGGTGCACCTGTGTAATGATCATGCTATTTAATCAGCTTCTTGATATGCCACACCTGTCAGGTGGATGGATTATCTTGGCAAAGGAGAAATGCTCACTAACAGGGATGTAAACAAATTTGAGCACAAAATTAGAGAGAAATAAGCATTTTGTGCTTATGGAAGATTTCTGGGATCTTTTATTTCAGCACATGAAACATGGAACCAACACTTTACATGTTGCGTTTATATTTTTGTTCAGTGGTGTTTTCCAGTGACTATTAACTATTCTGTAACCATTCCCTCTTCAATCAGGGTTGATTGTAAAATGCTTTGTTCAAAAGAAGACATTGTATCATCGTACTCCCTGACAAAGGCCATGCAACCGAAACAAGTCAGTTAAAAAAAATCTTGGTTCCATTGAAAAATGCCATACATATAGGCATTTTAATTAATTATACAAAGAGTGCCTTGGTCCTCCTTTGTTTTTGAAGACAATTTTGCCTATTTGATGGTTTAGGAAAAGATACATACAAAGTTCAAGCACTCCTCTAATAGGGAATGGGTCATCCAAAAACATTAAATCGTTTCCATTTCTAATTGCAGTGTGCAAAGTAACCACACACTCAAGCTAGCACACGCAAACACGGTCCTCACCTCACACTTGTGCGTCACAGAGCCGTAGGACCGTGACTCTGTGCGGTCAGTGATGGCACCTGACTGTAGCTGCTTCCTCTCCTCTCCGCTCTCCGTCCCCTGGCCATCTTCTCCCTCTCCCTCATCATCCTCCTCTTCTTCTTCATCCTCCTCCATCTCACCCTCTTCAACCTCTTTCTCTTCATTTACCGTCTTTGATGCGCTGTTCCCCTCATCGGAGTCATTATCTATGAAGAGGAATTGTATAACCATCAGACACTGTGACCCACTGCAGTCAAATATTTAGAAAATGTAGCCGTCCATCTTCCCTTCCTCGAAGTAGTCACTGATCCAACATGATTGGATAGGAGAAAGCATGGCAGATTAGTGATTACTCCTAGGAAGGAAGGTCAGTCAAGCTGTTTGTTTACCCTGTGAGTGGTTGCGACGAGGAGCTCTCCTTGTCCTTATTCTCCTGGTACTCATGTAAGACCTACCGGCTGCAGACTTGAATGGAAACTCTGTAAGAACAAAATACATCTTTATCCGCACAGCAATATTAAACATACAGATCACCAATGAAAAGTACGAAGACCAATTCACTGACTGGGCGTGTAGTCCGCATCCGAGGGGTCATCCTGAAACTCAGGCACATCTTTAGCAGGGTTCTCCACCTCCATCTCCGCTCTCTCTGCTGCGGCTTTTCTTGGTGGGGTGGAGGTTTTGGGGGTTCTTCCTCTCCCCGGGGTCTGTGGGGTGGGTTTGTCGGGGGTCTTACTGTCCATCTGTCCATCGTCTGGGGTGGTCTCGTTCGGGTCCTCCTGAACACCCTTATACCCTCCGTCCTCTGCTGAGGTTTTTAGAATCTCCTCGTCATGTGACCTTGTCTCCGATGGCTCCTTCTCCATGTTCTGCTCTCCTTCCTCAATCTTGTCTTTATGATTTGGAAGAGATTATGGGAGAGAACAATATAGACTACAAAATGTACATTTCCTGAAGAAAATCAGTGTGCTTGCTTCAGCTGTGCAAAAGTATGACGGATAACATTAGTGGGCTTGTTAAAGCAAGCATACTAATGATTGATGGATATTTCTGTGTACTAATAACCACTGTTTGTGTACTGATCTGTACTGTACTCACTGGCATTGAAGTCTTGTATTGTCTGGGATGTTGTGGAGACTGCCAGAGACTGGTAGGCAGAGCAGGCATTGACTATCTCCTGCATCTGAAGGAACGTGGCCACTGCCACCACATCTTCCACATTCTGAGAACTCAGACTCAGCTTGGCCGTGTACATGAACTCAAGGACTTGGCCCAGACCTACAGAATACACACAGGGATGGATCCATGAGCCCTGCTGTGACTGTGAGGCAGATAACCCAAGCATGATGTTCAACATGGTCTTGGATATTAAGGTAAAGCAAATAGAGTTCAGTGTTTTCCCTCCCTATATGTTTGTCTTATGCAGGGGAATATCATAATTTGTTATAGTGTTAACATTTTCGAACAAGGCTTTTAGGTGGCAACAGCAACAAATAAGTTGGAAAGATGTTGTTCAAGTGTTGCGTGGGGGTGGGGTCACTGAGTCTCAGGCATCCACTTATGGCAGACATCCTAACTGGGCACACTACGTATTTTCAACGTGGATAATTGGGTATTATATGGTTGACACTTTGATCAATGCGATTACAACCTATATTCACCCACTCAAAAAGACAGCTAAAAGTTAGTTGAATTTCCAATGTGTTATCACTATGCTTTCAACCATCTAAAAGCACAACCAAATTCCAATGGAAAAACAATGTCTGATTTTTGGTTTAGTTGTCACCCAAATGTCTATGACTGTGCTTTCAACCATTTAAAAGCACAGCAAAGTTCAAATGGGAATACAATGTCAGATAATTTGTTTGTTTATACAACAGCTTAATGTGATATCACTGTGCTTCATCTAATAGCAGAACCAAATGGCCTGGACTGCAGTTAGATTACATTAAAAGTGCACGGTGCACATGATCAATGCAGTTCAAGATCCTGCACAGATTATAACAGCAATTGTGAAGATCTCCACAGATCTCTGATGACCTATGCATGCTATCTTGAACACTTTATAAATCAAATCAAACTTTAAATACACTTTAAATCAAGTTTGATTTGATTTAGCCCTATTCTATTTAGGCCTACTGGGCTCCCGAGTTAATAAATTAACCCTAAGATGGAAGACATGCTGACAAGAATGTCGGTCGTGCGCTGTAGATGGGCTCCCGAGTGGCGCAGCGGTCTAAGGCACTACATCTCAGTGCTTGAGGCGTCACTACAGACCCCCTGGTTCGATTCCAGGCTGTATCACAACCGGCCGTGATTGGGAGTCCCATAGGGCGGCGCACAGCGTCGTCCGGGTTTGACGGTGTAGGCCGTCATTGTAAATAAGAATTTGTTCTTAATTGACTTGTCTAGTTAAACAAAGATAAAAGAAAACATTATTTAACTTAGATTTTTGGTTGAGATGAAGATGTGAAATCCAACATAAATTATTAATTTGTAGATAAACTGGAACTAAGCAAGACTAAGTCAGGGGCACAAATGGAACTGTCCAAGCAGAAGATACATTTCCTTCAAATGTTGATATTTGGTTGCATTCACAACCAAACACAATTCAATATCACTAAATATCATTACATTTGAAATCAACCAGAGCTGGAAACCCTAGTCCTATTTTATTGTCTATTTTTAGCTGAATTCTGGGCTCAATTGCTGTTGATGACTTTGCAAATGCTATATACTGTAGGCCTAAATAGCATCATTGATGATTGATAATGTATGGTCACATTTCATTTGCTCTGTTTATTCTACCCTTTGGAATCAGTGTTGTTTTTAAGTGGAGATCTCTCAACAATCATTCTCACGCCAGCACATTGGTAATAGTCATTGACAAGTATCATAGCTAAGCTGGGCTTGGTTAAATCATTGGATGGGAGACCAAAGGGTAGCTGTAGACAGATCAATTCTCCAGTAGGAGGTGCTGTCCAGTCTACTGTATTTATTTCTTATAGCGGATATAATGTTGAAAATCTGACATTGTTTTAAAGGTACAAATTCAAAATGTTATACAAGATTTGTCTGTGTTGAAATTTGGTCACCATGATGACATAATCCTGTGGTTGAAATTTCACCCTCAAAACAAGTTTATGTTGATGACAAATTAAGTTGAAACAACATTGATTCAACTAGTTAGTGCCCAGTGGGATGTACCTGCTGCATTGCTGATATCCAGGTGCACCACATCCTTCTGGTCCAGGAAGAGGGTGTGGAAGTAGGCGCTGCAGGCAGCCAGCACAGCCTTGTGGGCCTTGAAGTCCACCCCGTCCACCACGAAGGTACAGTCACACAGCAGGCCCAGCTGGCGCTGGTGGTTGAGCTGCTCCAAAACCTTGCTACTGTGCCAGGGAAAGTCCATCCTGGTGAGAGTGGGCAGTGGTGGAAAAAGTACCCAATTGTCATACTTGAGTAAAAGTAAAGATACCGTAATCAAAAATGACTCAAGTAAAAGTCACCCAGTAAATTACTACTTCAGTAAAAGTCTAAAGGTATTTGGTTTTAAATATACTTAAGAATCAAAAGTAAATGTAATTGCTAAAATATACTTAAGTATCAAAAGTAAAAGTCTAAATAATTTCACATTTCTTATATAAAGCAAACCTGACGGCGTCATTTTCTTGTTTTTATTTTATTTACGGCTAGCCAGGGGCATGCTCCAACATTCAGACATCATTAACAAATAAAGCATGTGTTTCGTGAGTCCGCCAGATCAGAGGCAGTAGGGATGACCAGGGATGTTCTCTTGATACGTGTGTGAATTAGACAATTTTCCTGTCCTTTTGGGTGTCAGGGAAAATGTATGGAGTAAAAAGTACATCATTGTCTTTAGGAATGTATTGAAGTAAAAGTAAAATATAAATAGTAAAGTACAGATACCCAAGAAAACTACTTAAGTAGTACTTTCAAGTATTTTTTACTTAAGTACTTTACACCACTGAGTAAATATGGGTTGTGTTGGATTTAGTCAATCAGGTGAGGTAACACATTACCACTGTCAAATTTATCTAAATGTTTGGAAATGTAAAAAGCCATGACTGGAGGGGATTCTCACTTAAAATGTGACTAATATGATGATATAGTATAATCACCTACGGCTAGTTGTATTCCTGGTTGATTTATACATTTTTTTACATTTTAGTCATTTAGCAGACGCTCTTATCCAGAGCGACTTACAGTTAGTGAATACATTTTTTTTAATATATACTGGGGTAATCGAACCCACAACCCTGGCGTTGCAAACGCCATGCTCTATCAACTGAGCTACATCCCTGCCGGCCATTCCCTCCCCTACCCTGGACGACGCTGGGCCAATTGTGCGCCGCCCATGAGTCTCCCGGTCGCGGCCGGCTGCGACAGAGCCTGGATTCGAACCAGGATCTCTAGTGGCACAGTTAGCACTGCGATGCGGCGCCTTAGACCACTGCGCCACTTATCACATGCAATTTCATAATTTTACATAGCCTGACAACTAAATCTTCGGGAGCTCACAAGATGTGGTGTTGTTTTATGGATAAAGATTTTTAAATATTCAATTTATAGATTAGCTCAATTCAATGTATCAAAAGAGTTGGCCTATACCACCTATATGGCCTACCGATTATTAATATCAGAGTCCTAGCTTAATCACCGACGAGACATAATGTTTATGAAATTGTTTGACGTTTTCAAGGAATATAATGCATTTTTGTTGGGGTGACGATGCAGCGGATTGATTACGAATCCTATATCCTTCTACATTCACTATCCGGGATTAATTTAGCGTGCCTAGACATGCATGTTTTGGACAAACAAATGGCGTTTGGCGAAAGAGGGGCCTTCCTTTATGCCCGTGCTTAGAGCTTCTTTGTGTGCTTAAAGCATACGCCATCTTTCAAAAGAAGTACATTCAAAATACCTCTTGAGAATCGCTGAGTTCCCCGCTCCAAACGCTTGTTATGGTGTTGTTTTGTACTATTTCCCCACAATCCGTTGAATTCCTTCAATCGAGTTTTTCGGTGATCGATCTAGCCACACAGACTCGATTCACCACCATCTTCCATTCGCTGATCGATTGATAGTGGCCGGGTGGATAGTTTACATATTGCGCAGGCGCAGTTTTATTCCTGCGTATGGAATGGTTTTTAAAATGGCCACGCGATGGCGCACTATGCCTGATCGTATTCAAGATGCTTCTCCAATGTGGTTCTCGACACAGTGATAAACTTCTCTCACTACTACTTTGTGCTGCCCTAAACTTTTATAATATGTGCTTCTAATGCTCATAAGGACATGCTAAAATAATGGACAGCTCTGGCGTAAATGTTTGAAAGGGGTAAGTGAGAAATGTAGCGATGGGCATTTCTTTGCACTTTTGAATTAGTTTTTTCTTTCTGTCACTGGCCTAGAACTTCAGAGCCATGAATAGACAAACACCATACATTGATGTACACAACAGTTTATATTCTCAAAATTGGAAATAATGTATTATCAATCAACTACTTTATTCACAAAACGAAGTACTGTAGAGTTCAGAAGAAGAAGCAATACTTCATTGATGGATGGGATAGCGTGTACACACACTTGGAGGTGATGTGTGATTAGGGTAGCAATAAATTCCTTGGTTTTCCCGAAATCCCCCCCTAACAGGAGGGAGTAAGCAGGAAATCCGGGTACCTCCAACCAGGTTTTCTGGAAAACCAGAATTTATTGAAAGTTCCAGGTATTTTGCAACCCTATGTGTGAAAACATAAGAACAAAGTAGGCTAACTATTGTCAATTCAAGGCAGCGATATGTATGGGAGGAGGTAGTATGGCAGAAGAGGAAGACATACGTACAAAATGGACAGGTGTAATAGTAAAGACAGGAAATGGGAAACACAGTATATAGCATTACACATTACAGGCAGCGAGGGAGCAGAGGTCATGAGAGAGTCCAGTCTGTCTTAGATCTTGATCTCAGTGCGGAAGGTATGTGTGAGCTCATGCTTGGATGGGTGTCTGCGGGCCTTAACTGTAAGCGTTCCCTCGGCGCCCAATGTTGATGTCACAGAGGTGGGGTCCACATCCTCAGGCAGCTGGCACTTGTGGGTAAAAGTGTTCATCACTGTACCGTCCGCCGCCAACTGTTGAAGAGATGATAAACATGAGAAAATGACCAAGATATTCTGCATATCTCATACATTTCTCAGACATTTTAGATAGAGTTCTCAAAATCATAGAGAATTTAGTTTCACTAAAAAAGGGTTTTGCCCACCTTTTTGCGTGGACTTCGATCTGGTCATTGGAGGTGGTGACGATGACGTCCTCTGGAGAGAAGTCTTGGACGTCCACTGTGAACTGGTAGCTGTCTCCCATTGTCTTGATCTTCCCTGCTGTCCTCGTCTGATCTAGAAACACAACCAAGACATTTTGAAGTTTCAGCAGGTAATGTGCTTACTGAGAGCTAGCCTTTCTTGACCTATAGACAAATAGATTTTCTACAGACGGAGGTGATGTGTGATTAGGGTAGCAATAAATTGATAAGGTCAGGTCAGTCTTATCCTTACTTAATAACTAAGATCATAACTCTTACTTAACCTTATATGCACATTAAATACATGTATATGCACAATACATTCACACACAGTCCAAAGGTTTGTCTAGTATATGAAACCCTGCTGGGCTTGTCTACCGTCTCTGTTGATTAGAAAAAAGCGATGTTAGAAGGCGTGTCCTCAAATTGGAAATGAGCATTCCACTGTGTGAGATGCCTGGGTGATTCTTACTTAACATACAGGTATATGTCTGATTTGGCTACATGACACCCAGTGTCACAGTGTGTGTGTATGCTGGTTGCTATGCAACAGTCTGGCCTGTCATCTCCCAGGCGTCGTCCCAGTCATTCTCTTTGTGTGAGATCACGGCGTTGGCTGTGTCCAATATTCCCGACGGGTGGACGCCCCCTAGCCCCTCCCATCCTACCCTGTCCTCTCTCCATCACCAGCAATCTCCTCCTTTTCCCGGAGGCATGGGCATACTAATCACAGCACTGAAATACCCTGCTCTGCCCTACTGCTACAACCCAACAACCAACCCTCCCTCCCCTTTGCCCTGTTGCGAAGCCGTCGGATCAAGCACTTGCTCAGAGCCTTATAGAGAGTTCAGCAGGCAATCAACACACATCAATACACATGTACGTGGCACAGACACAGAGACACAAACACACCTCTGTCTTTTAGAATGATTGGTTTTAATGTACATGTATGTTCAAACCAACATACAAGAACATCTCCTACAGTATGAATTATCCACAGACAAATTCACTCAGAAATGGAATTTGATACTGTATGTATGGAATAAGTCGATTATAATAATGCTGGTCCACAATTGGGAATTCATGTCAAATCAACTCACTGGGAAATCCCAAGACATCCGTTTCAGGACGCATGAAAGAGCCAAAGTCTTCTGCAAAAAGCCCCCTGCTCTTCTCCATGTATGGGTTGTTGGAGGATGAGGAGGAGGAAGAGGTCTGCTGGAAGCTGCACTCCGATCGGTGGGCAGAGGAGTTGGTCACACTCATTGATGGCTAAGTCTGCCGGAGAGGTGGGAAAAGTATCCGCTTTTTAAAGGGAGAGAGAAAGAAACAGAGGAGATCCTTTTAGTGGTTCAGTCCTGGCCCAGTCCACTCAGTTTACATCAGAGGGAAAGTGAAGGATGGGCAGATCCAGAAGAAGGATGAATATTTCTCCTCTGTCAGTTGAACAATATTCCCTCCTGTCAGGTGGTTTGTAAGATGCTATGTTTTCTTTCCCACTGTTTGAAGATGTGTCTGTGTCCGTCTTTTGGATAAGTGTGTCGGTTACGTTTGTCCATGAGCATAGCCAGTCAGTCACACACACAGGATCTTATATATGTGGAGCCCAACTGTTTTTTTTATTCCTGTGTGTGTGAGAGAGAGAGATAAAGAGGGGGGGGGGGGGGGGGGGGGTCTGTGGTCAGAAAAGTTTGGACAATGTGGGTTTGAGGTTAAGAGAGGGAGAGCCGGGGAGAGGAAAGCAAGAGGAGGGGTTGAGTCAACAGTTGGCATTCCAGACACTCGATACCTGAAATGGCTAAACTCTACTTCTTTCCTATCTATTTATCTTCTGTTGTTTTCCCTCTGTAAGCATCAGTTTCCCTTTTTTGTCATGACATTTGATCATCTTGTGGATCAGTGGTTACTTAACATGTATTCTTTAATTTCTTCGGGAACATAGGCATAAAACGTCTGTTGTCTGGTATTTACTTACATATTACATGGTAACAGTTGTTAAATTTGGTATTAGGATACTTATTTCAACTAATTACTATTACAAAACTGGTGGTAACTAATTTTAACCGATTACTACTTAGAGGCTCATGTCTAAATGATGTAACTAGTAACTTAGTATGTAGGCTACACTTTATCTGCCCATTTCAATATCGAGAGAGAGAGAGAGAGAGAGAGAGAGAGAGAGAGAGAGAGAGAGAGAGAGAGAGAGAGAGAGAGAGAGAGAGAGAGAGAGAGAGAGAGAGAGAGAGAGAGAACACTGTGAACCTGATACACAGCCCAGTATTCCCAGTGTCTCATCAGTGACATTGATTCACCTCTGGAAAGGTAATTGACGCCATTAGCTATGACCAGCACAAGGTTGTGTGTTTTAGATAGTGGGCAATGTGCACAACAAACACACATAGATAGATATAAAGAGACACACACACAGAGAGACAGACAGACTCGTGTGAACATATATATACACACTACCGTTCAAAAGTTTGGAGTCACTTACAAATGTCCTTGTTTTTGAAAAAAAAGTAATGTTTTTGTCCATTAAAATAACATCAAATTGATCAGAAATACAGTGTAGACATTGTTAATGTTGTAAATGGTTATTGTAGCTGGAAACTGCTGATTTTTAATGGAATATCTACATAGGCGTACAGAGGCCCATTATCAGCAACCATCAGTCCTGTGTTCCAATGGCACATTGTGTTTGCTAATCCAAGTTTATCATTTTAAAAGGCTAATTGATCATTAGAAAACCCTTTTGCAATTATATTAGCACAGCTGAAAAATGTTATGCTTATTAAAGAAGCAATAAAACGGGCCTTCTTGAGACTAGTTGAGTATCTGGAGCATCACCAATTGAGGGTTCGATTACAGGCTCATAATGGCCAGAAACAAATAACTTTCTTCTGAAACTCGTCAGTCTATTTTGTTCTGAGAAATGAAGGCTATTCCATGCGAGAAATTGCCAAGAAACTGAAGATCTCGTACAACGCTGTGTACTACTCCCTTCACAGAACAGCGCAAACTGGCTCTAACCAGAATACTCTGTGATGCTGACCTTCTAGGCAGAGTTGCAAAGAAAAAGCCCTCTCAGATTGCCCATCTTAATCTTTTCTTTTTATTGGCCAGTCTGAGATATGGCTTTTTCTTTGCAACTCTGCCTAGAAGGTCAGCATCCCGGAGTCGCCTCTTCACTGTTGACGTTGAGACTGGTGTTTTGCGGGTACTATTTAATGAAGCTGCCAGTTGAGGATCTGTGAGGTGTTTGTTTCTCAAACTAGACACTAATGTATTTGTCCTCTTGCTCAGTTGTGCACCGGGGCCTCCCACTCCTCTTTCTATTCTGGTTAGAGCCAGTTTGCGCTGTTCTGTGAAGGGAGTAGCACACAGCGTCTCAGTTTGGCAGGGCGGCCAGCTCTAAGAAGAGTCTTGGTGGTTCCAAACTTCTTCCATTTTAGAATGATGGAGGCCACGGTGTTCTTGGGGACCTTTAATGCTTATATAGACAGGTGTGTGCCTTTCCAAATCATGTCCAATCAATTGAATTTACCACAGGTGGACTCCAAGTTGTAGAAACCTCAAGGATGATCAATGGAAACAGGATGCTCCTGAGTTCAATTTCGAGTCTCAATACTTATGTAAATAAGGTATCTGTTTTTTATTTGTAATACATTTGCAAAAATTTCTAAAAACCTGTTTTCGCTTTGTCATTATGGGGTATTGTGTTTAGATTGAGGAACATTTTTTATTTAATCAATTTTAGAATAAGGCTAACATAAAAGTGGAAAAAGTCAAGGGGTCTGAATACTTTCTGAATGCACTGTATACACACACACACACACACACACACACACACACACACACTAATGCCCTTCCTATTCTTGGGCATGTGGTTGTGTTTGTCTTAGCTGCCATGTATTACATACTGCTCCCATTCTGACTGACCCACTTCTGTCTGTCTGACTGTCTAACTGCTACTGATCTAGGAGACTGAGAGGAGAGAACTAGGAACATCTACTCCATAATTTAACCAAGATCTACATGATTGCTTGAGGAAGTTAGGAACTTGTAGTATGTGGGGTGTCATTCACATACATACCTGTGGAATAACACTGGGTTCTGAGTGATAATTGAAATCGCAGGAAAAGGGTGACTGGATGGGAAAGAGGAAGATCAACATTAACTGTGCGTGTGTGCGCGGGTGTGTGTGTGTAATTATGTTTGTAGTGCATCAGACGAAAGATTACCTTCACCTTGAGCAGAGGTGAGAGAGTGAAAAGAGAGTGCAAAAAAGTATCAGCGTGCTTTAATTAATTCCAGTCACTATTTCAAAGCGGGTTACCAAAAACCAAACCTTTACACAAAGGCTCCCCTATTTCTCATGCACATTCTTTCATTAGTGGTCCTCTGTAGCTCAGCTGGTAGAGCACGGCGCTTGTAACGCCAAGGTAGTGGGTTCGATCCCCGGGACCACCCATACACAAAAAATGTATGCACGCATGATTGTAAGTCGCTTTGGATAAAAGCGTCTGCTAAATGGCATATTATTATTTATATTATTATTATTATTCATGTTGAAAGTGACTTGTGAGGTCTGAGGGGCTTTAAAGACGCAGTATTTTATGTGCAGAGACAAGACAACCTTACAGAAGGTCAACTGAGGTCTTCGGTTTCTATCAGCTCTCTCCAGACTTCAACTGTCACCCACATAACATCCTGGCTCTACTACTCACCAGTCTCATCAATGGTAATGTGAGGGTCATATTGGACATAACACCTTCTATGCTATGAGCCATCTACCTTATAAATGCATTATAAACATACATGCATTTATATAGGCTCTTATACAGAGTTGTGGGCTGTTATAAATTCTCATAGCAAGCCTTATACTGTGGGGTGACTGAAAGCACATTTAATATAAAGTGATACCCCTATTAGATGTAACATAACAAATAAGACTTGTTTATAAATACATAATACCAATTGGCAATAGTTGTCTCACACAAACACTAAGGGAACATTGAGACAAAACATATATTTTTTGGGAATATATTGGTCACTGTGAGGCTAGTTCTGTTTGTGAATTATTTTTGGAATAATAAGCATATAAAACTGAACATAATCAGGGAGAAAATTCCACATTTTGTTGTGTTACAGCCTGAATTCAATATGGATTCCAAAAAATATATATATCTCACTGATCTACACACACAATATACCCCATAATGACAAAATGAAAACAAGTGAAAATGAAATACAGAAATATATTTACTTAAGTATTCACACCCCTGGGTCAATACTTTGTAGAAGCACCTTTGCCAGGGATTACAGCTGTGAACCTTTCTGCATGGGTAAGTCTCTAAGAGCTTTCCACACCTGGATGCAACATTTGCCCATTTTTATTTTTTTATTTTATTCTTCAAGCTCTGTCAAATTGGTTGTTGATCATTGCTAGACAACCATTTTCAGGTTTTGACATGTATATTTAAGTCAAAACTGTAACTCAGCCACTCAGGAGCATTCACTGTCTTCTTGGTAAGCAACTCCAGTGTAGATTTGGCCTTGTGTTTTAGGTTATTGTCATAACGAAAGGTGAATTCATCTCCCAGTGTCTGGTGGAAAGCAGACTGAACCAGGTTTTCCTCTAGGACTTTGCCTTTATTTAGCTCCATTCCATTTATTTTGTATCCTGAAAAACTCCCCAGTCCTTAACGATTACAAGCATACCCATAACATGATGCAGCCACCACTATACTTGAGAATATGGAGAGTGGTACTCAGTAATGTGTTGTATTGGATTTGCTCCAAACATAACACTTTGTGTTCAAGACAAAAAGTGAATTGCTTTGCCACATTCTTTGCAGTATTACTTTAGTGCCTTGTTGCAAACAGGATGCATGTTTTGGAATATTTTTATTCTGTACAGGCTTCCTTCTTTTCAAACTGTCAATTAGGTTAGTATTGTGGAGTAACTACAATGTTGTTGATCCATCCTCAGTTTTCTCCTGTCACAGCCATTAAACCCTTTAACTATTTTATAGTCACCATTGGCCTCATGGTCAAATCCCTGAGTGGTTTCCTTCCTCTCCGGCAACTGAGTTAGGAAGCCTGTATCTTTGTAGTGACTGGGTGTATTGATACACCATCTAAAGCAGGGGTGTCAAACGTCCGGCCCGCGGGCCAGATCAGGCCCGCAAACGGGTTTAATCCGGCCCGCGAGATTATTTTGTAAAGTATAAAAATGAGCGGCAATTTTTCAATAAAATAAACTG